AACTACCACAACTGATTTTAAAGGGCTTGATCTAACTACCACAACTGATTTTAAAGGGCTTGATCTAACTACCACAACTGATTTTAAAGGGCTTGATCTAACTACCACAACTGATTTTAAAGGGCTTGATCTAACTACCACAACTGATTTTAAAGGGCTTGTTGTACGTACATAAAACTTTGGGTTGGGGTTGGTCCTTTTATCCAGTTTATCAGCTGTTTGTCTTCAAACGCCCTGTCGTCCCACACCGTTACACAATGACGTCATACTAAACCTCACCTCACCCTGAATTTCTCTCGCTATTCTTATAAGTGTTGTACACAGTAAATATGAACTGGGAAAAAGTCGACCAAATATCTAACATAATACATTCCAGACTTTAAGCCACAAGGGATTTAATTCATTTTCTTACTGCTAATTAAATAATGTAACTTAGGCATTGTGTTTCTGTATTTATTGTTCATTATAATTGAATCAAGAAAGGGCAGTATTTTGATATATTACACTATCTTAATAATGGACGTAATTTGTTTCTAGGTGCGTTTAAGGAGCATTAAAACACAAGCAAACCTACAAACAAACCTACAAGCAAACTTACAAGCGAACTTACAAACTTACAAACAAACTTACAAACAAACCTACGAGCTAACTTACAAGCGAACTTACAAACTTACAAACAAACTTAAAAACAAACCCACAAGCTAATTTACAAGCGAACTTACAAACTAACAAGCAAACTTACAAATAAACGTAACAAAACAAAAACAAACGAGGTAGCACTCGATTACATCCAACAACAGGCTGGCTACTGAGTCGGCAATGACTGAAAGATAAGTCATATTTACTCTTACTGAGAGATAAGTCATATTTACTCTGACTGAAAGATAAGTCATATTTACTCTGACTGAAAGATAAGTCATATTTACTCTGACTGAAAGATAAGTCATATTTACTCTGACTGAGAGATAAGTCATATTTCCCCTGACTGACAGAACGCATCAGAGTGAGGGGAGCTTCACACGTGCGACACCTGGTGGGGGCCGATCAAACGGGGATAGAAGGGATGGTGGGGGGGGGGGGTCGAAAAATTGATCCCGATGAAAGAGGGCCACATCGGCACGTGCCGGATGGGTTTAATTATGTCGGCGTGGGGCGGCTAGGGGTGGCAGAAGATCCGAGGGAGAACCAACTGGGGAGGGTGACTTGATATGGTTAATACGCTGTGGGTGGGGGCTGGAGACAGTTACAGAAATGTGCCTGGGTAATTACGTGAAGAGGATCGAGCCGGTCAGTAGGTTTTTGGATCATGTTTGTTTATGTCAAGTCAGAGAGATTTGGACTGAAGATGGGAATAATGCCATACACTACACTAGTGTACTCGGCTTTTCATTATAGTCAAGTTTATATAGGCATATACACACAGACACACACACACATATTATGTGTATATATATATATATATATATATATATATATATATATATATATATATATATATATATATATATATATATATATATATATATATATATATATATGTATGTATGTGTGTGTGAGTCGTTGCAACCAGGATTGTTTTATCATAGTTGATTGCTCTTGTAGTTAACCTCATGTGTTAGGGTAATATATAACAGAACAAATGGCCTCCGAAGTTCTTAGCAATAGCATTCTCGTAGCGTTTCCTTTTACCTTTTATTTTAATTTAATTTAATTTTTTAGTTTATTTTTTTTTAAAGTTTCGGCGCTTTCAACTTGAAAGCTTGAACGATTTTCTCTTGGCTGAAGGAATAAAATAAACCGGGAGTGATCTCCCCTAAACTTTCTCGAATATTCTTATATAAAATAACAGGGGATGGGAACTCGGGTTATAGACATGATTTTTAATCCATTTTAAATACTTAAAGTTTTAAAAATAGAATAAAATCTCGTAGACAAATTAATTGCACACCAAGTGAACGCCCAATAAAAAAGCGCATAATAGTGCGCAATATTATTAGTACTTTTAAAATTTACATTAGTTTTTTGAGAAATCGGAAGTAGCGTAAATTACTACTTCCAGTCAACGGAAATTACTCAAAATTTAACAGAAGGTAGAGAATTAGATCTTTTACTTACATGTGAAATTTCATTTATCTATCTGAAATAGTACTCAAGTTATAGGCTTTTGAAAAATTCAAAGTAGGAAAAGTACCACTTCCGGTTATCGGAAATCGCTCAAAAGTTGATACGGATCTACGATTTTGATATAATACTTATATATGAAATTTCATTAACCTAGCTGTAACGGTACTCAAGTTATCGTGTTTACACACGGACACACAGACAGACACACACACACACACACAGACATACGGACAAGATTGCAAAATTATGTTTTTCCGTATCAGTGAGGTGTAAAACGTCGAGATCTGTAAAAATCTCGATTTTTTTTTTTTGCACGATTACAATACTTTCTCTATACTTCGTATATACGAGAAAGTAAAAAACAAAAAACCTCCCTGCTTATAATCAAGAGACCCCTACCTTGACCCCCCCCCCCGCACCACCTTGACCCCCAGCACCCTTACTGCGGGTGTTACGGGGATTACTTCACGTACGCCATCGGCACGCATTTTGTTTTGCTCGCAAATTTTTTTTCTTCATTTCCTGTCAATTTTAGGGTAAATTTGACATTACCTTACCCTCGGTGAAGAGTCGGAAAAACACTAAAGTTCGTCTCAAATAACTCTTGGCCTAGCTTCACCCCAAACCCTCCACGTCCAGTGTTTCTTCTAGACTTTTTTCTCCGGGGGGGGGGGGTATTGAAATTTGGGGGTGGGGGGGTGGGGTAAACGTATATATCTTCTTTATGAATTCCATTTTGCCTCCCCCCCCCTTAGTGAGCGCCTCCCCCCCCCCCCCCCCAGAGTCTGCCCCCCCCTCCTCCGAAGAGATGCCTGAAAGAAACTCTGTCCACTTCCCTATACTTTTAAAACAAAACAGCATTGCAATCGTTAACTCAGGAATGTTGTGACAAAAAGTATTCTGTTCAACACGAAATATGTTCTACTCGTGCAGTGGCCAAATACCCAGTTAAACGGTAAACAAACAAAACTGGTTTATTTACATTTGCCCGAGATGAGTTAAAGTACAAGAACTTGTTTACGGATAGCTGGGTCATGTGGTAGTTTAAGTTTATAATAAATCGTAGGAAACATACTAAAAGATAATATTCATAAACATAAAAACCTTTACTATGTATAGGTTTTTATTGAAAGTACGACTACAGAAATATACTTACGCTGTTCACAGGACTGTTAATGTCTATAGTCTATACATTTAAAAAAATCAAAGCTTTTATTATATTTTGTATGATCGATTAATAATTTTAAAATGTTTTTTTCTTATATGAGAAAGCTGGTAAAAAAAAATAGCTGGTATTTCTAAAATGTTGCATTAGTTTTTTGTTCCGTTATTTATTTATTTTTGTTTTTTTTGTTTTACATATTTTGGTATAAACTTCACCCCATTAACATAACGCGAAGCGAATGACTCCACTGTACTAAAAAGCCCATCATTATTTCCCGTATTTGTGTAACGCTACCGATAACCATCTACCAACTCATCATAAAGAGATCGCGGCTCACCTCCCCTGGTCGTGTTTAGTCATACAGACCCAGGAATTGATAAGGTCAGACCTAATAACCGAACTCAGGTCCCTGACTCAGATCCCGGTACCGATAAATACCCCCAGACGTCTCTGTTGGTCTCCGTACTCCCCGGGAACAAAGCGCTATCTTCTGCTTGCATCCAGTCCAGTCACTCTATGTTTATATAATCCTGTACAGGCCGTTGGTTTCTACGTCGTTTTTTATTTTTATTATAAATTCGGCGAATAAAGAGTTGGTTTGTTTAGCGTATAAAACACCGCTCTACTGTTTAAGTAATTTTTTTTTTTTACTTATTTTACTAATCTTGACCCGTGAATTTAGATTAACCAATCAACGAATAGAGTGTGATGTGGTTGCTGGTTAAAAATAGAAGGAAAAAAAATACTATCTAAAAAAAAAAAACAGAAGTTACGTTTCATTTCGTTGAAAACAGAAATGTCTTTTGTCATCGAGTGTCTTTGATGTGCTTCCGGGTCAAGATTTAGGGTTACTGAGTCTATATTTAGATCAGGGTTTCCGGTTTTCCCGCCCACCCAGGCTGTGATTAAAATCACATGAAATAATTTTTTTTATTACTGGACCTCTGTTTGAACCCCCTGAATGTTCACATTGTGAACTCTGGCGGGTCAGGTAAAATTTTGAAAGCTGAGTTTGTAAGTGGTGATGGGTGAGTTACAATTTTAAGTAGAGGAAAAGGTCAAGGGTGGGTTTTCCGTCAAGACTATTTCTAAAGATATTAATAGAAATAGGTCAAGGTGGGCTATTTCCAAAGATATTAATAGAAATAGGTCAAGGGCGGGTTGTCCATGCAGGCATTAAGATAAATAGGTCAAGGTTAACTGTTTCTAAACCATTAATATAAATAGGTCAGGTGATCTGTTGCTACAGACATTAATAAAAATAGGTCAATGTTGGGTTGTCCGTAGAAACTTGAAGAGAAATTGGTCACGTAGGTGTTAATGGCCCGGGGGGGGGGGGGGGGCGGAGGGCGTTTACGTTTGCAGTGTACGAGGGAAACAAACTTAAGGTGCACAAGTATTGCATACCATCAAAGAAATAGGTCAAATGTGAGTAGTTTACAGGATCGGTTTACTGAAGTCGAGCAATGCCCCCCCCCCACCCACCCCCTCACACACAACTGCATCTATCACCACACCCTAATGATTGGGTTATATTTATGTTATAAAGCCATTCCTAAAAGTAGACGATTTTGTTTTACAATCATTATTTAGCATTTCTTCTTATTTTAGCATCCGAAATTCTGGCATATTTCCTACATATATTTTTCTACTCTGCACATGTCTATGGTTGCATTAGTCTAAACGTTTTTTGTTGTGTTTTTTTCACTAGGCTGAACTGGACAAGCTGAAAGAGCTTCATGACAGAACAGTGGCTGAGATGGAGGCCGATCTCAAGGTGAAGCTGAGGAACTTGTCTCAGGAGCTGGACACTAAATGGACGGAGACCATGAGGTAGGAGGGCGGCTTATTGTCTCAGGGGCAGTGTACACTCGGGGGGCTGTGTACACTCGGGGGCTGTGTACACTCGGGGGAGGGGGGCTGTGTACACTCAGGGGGCTGTGTACACTCAGGGGGCTGTGTACACTCAGGGGCGCCTGCGTGTGCCTTAGATCATTACTAGGTAACCCAACCACAACTCCATCCTACATCATATTTAAGTAGCCCAACCCCACCCTACATCATATTTAAGTAGCCCAACCCCACCCTACATCATATTTAAGTAGCCCAACCCCACCCTAATCATATTTAAGTAGCCCAACCCCACCCTACATCATATTTAAGTAATACAATCCCACCCTACATCATATTTAAGTAGTCCAACCCCACCTTACATCATATTTAAGTAGCCCAACCCCACCTTACATCATATTTAAGTAGCCCAACCCCACCCTACATCATATTTAAGTAATACAATCCCACCCTACATCATATTTAAGTAGCACAACCCCACCTTACATCATATTTAAGTAGCCCAACCCCACCATACATCATATTTATGTAATACAATCCCACCCTAAATCATATAAGTAATACAATCCCACCCCACGTCAGATTTAACAAACTCAACCCCACCCTTCACCATATTTTACGAACCAAATTCCATGCAATGCTATACATCCCTTTTAAATACACATGTAAACTATACAATCCTTTGAACTCTTCTTGTAATGCCATACAACTCTTTTATCTACCACAGCATAAGCCGCCATTTAACAAACCTTATATTGCTTTAATAATTGCTCAGTGCCCAAAGTTCCTTTTTGGATTAGTTCTTCAAGTGCGTCACTTGGCCCAATTTGTATTTTTAAACTTTCATCGGAATAGTTTTCGTCTGTATTTAACAAAAAGTTAACAAAATAGAAATAACGTTAAAACAAAATACCTTGGCCCCTTAATTCTATCCCCTGCTCGAATGGGAGACTACTCCCAAAAAAAAATTGCTCACAGATCTTCAGATCATTATCCCGCTCTTCGCCAAGTGGCATTACACATTTGATGTCAGCCGTGGTCTAATGCTTTCCAACACTTGTCTGGGGTTTCAACTGACGTTTATCTGACGTCAAACCTATCCACACCTTGTCTTTGTTTCCCGCCGACCTATTTCCCCCCTTAAATCTGTCCCGATGTTTTAATAGAAATTCCCGGTAAGTGTTATTTCAATAAGAATTTTTTTTTTAAACGGCTTCTTTGGTCAAATGTCGCGCTAGTGGTTCTGACATTTCGTGGACTCTATGATGAATGCACCTGCTGGCACACCCTCTTACGTAATGGTGAGTTAATGGTATCACGTGACGGCAGGAGAGGTAATTCATGGAGACAAGTATTGACAAGAAAAGGGGAGAGAATGTGTCTAGCATGACTTGGCATTTCAGTGCTTGTTTCGTTGTGTTGTTGTGCTTTGTTTGGTGGTTGGGACGATGAGGTACGGCCTTTGTTGATGGTTGTATCTGACTCCAGAGACGGTGTACGTCTGGCTTTAGCTGTAGATTAGGGATAGAGCGAAGTTCATTAGAAGATCACAGAACTGTACCTTTATTCTAGAATAAATGGATTCTTTCTTTGTAGAACTCTCATTAAAGATGCATTGCTACAATAGTACTTGTTGTGTAGAATAAATGGATTGTTTCTTTTCTACAACTGTTATTAAAAGATGAAAGCTACAACGGAATAAATGGATTGCTTCTTTGTAGAACTCTCATTAAAAGATCATAGCTACTATAGTACATTTATTCCAGAAAAAATGGATTGGTTCTTTGCTAGAACTCTCATCAAAAGATCATAGCTACGACATAACTTTAACTGTAGAATAAATGGATTGTTTCTTTGTAGAACTCTCATTAAATGTTCATAGCTACAATAGTACCTTTTGTGTAGAATAAATGGAATGCTTCTTTGTTCGAACTCTCATTAAAAGATCACAGCAACAATATAGAAGACCACAGAGTAGTAGCTTTACTGTAGAACAAGTTGATTGTTTCTTTGCTAGAGTTCTCACTAGAATATCATAGAATAGTACCTTTACTGTAGCACAGATAACTTATCTTTGCTAGAACACTCATAGCTATTACAGCCTCTATAGCGAAGAATACATATCTTTATCTTCGCTAGGTCACATTATAAGACAACAATGAATAAAACAGTTGTCAGAATTCTTTGTTTATGTTAAAAGAATTTAAAATGAAAATAAATAAAAAAAAAGTTGTGTATAGTTAGCTAAGCCCTAGAGAAGAGCTGTTGAATGTAAGAACCAAAAACATGTTTCTAGCTGAGTATAGATAGACCTGCAACAGTGCACTAGTAATTTGTTGCACGTGTGGCGGGTGCAGAATGGAGAGGGCGGTATGTACGTTATGATGCATGCACGCTGTGAACTCACACTTCGTAACATATCCACGCGGCTGCTCATTTCATTACTCTCCTGTTATCCCGCCCCTAAATATTTAGTTGTAAGTTCTAACAGCCTAGTGCTGCCCCCCGCCCCCCTTATCTACGCCACGGCTATATTTAAATATTTGATTTTTGAACCCGTGAAAAACAACGGGTAGGCCTATATGTTTACTGTGTTGTCCAGATAGAAATTAATTTAAATAAACAGTAATTGGGTTAATCAACTAGGACGCCTTAATGAGGACATACCCAAAATAATAATCATTAAAAAAGTTTTAAAAAACCCACGTTTTCTGATTGAACTAAAAAGTAGAAAATAAATACTATACATACAATAATGCAAGCGATCACTCTACTATAAGCTATCAAAAACGTGGGTCGCCGAAGTAAAAGTTATATTACTATTGATTAGATAATACTATTGACTTTTATTAGGGAGCTTGTAGAGAGTCAACAGTATTAGAAACTGTAAGAAAATCACGGCGCCCCACGTTTTTGATAGCTTATAGTAGAGTGATCGCTTGCATTATTGTATGTATAGTATTTATTTTCTACTTTTTAGTTCAATCAGAAAACGTGGGTTTTTTAAAACTTTTTTAATGATTATTATTTTCTACTTTTTAGTCTTTGTCTGTTTGTTTGCATTAAAATCTTGCTATCGATTTTATCTTTTCACTTTTTTTTTGGGTAAACGAAGACAACTCGTAAAAAGACAACTCGTAAAAAGACAACTCGTAAAAAGACAACTCGTAAAAAGACAACTCGTAAAAAACATGTTGTTTGAATACGTTACTGACTAGAACACATAGATTTGAACCCGTGTCGAGTGGGATAGCAATCGTGTGCCCAACCACTCGACCATATCGTCTCCCCCAAACTGGCCTACCTCCTGTAAGTTTAAACTCGGTTCAAGCTAAATTCTCTGCCCCTAAGCCTGTGGCGACATGTGATCGTTCGCTTCACTGCGCGCGAGGTACGCGTCGCTGGTTTTTTTTCTAATGGCTAGCAGAGGAGAATTATATATATAGATTATATAGCGGTCTAAAATGCTCAATAAAATGTTTCCATTGATCAATTTAGTAATAATAACAATTGAATATTCAATGGTCATCCAAAAGAAAGCTTCCCTGAAAATTTCAGCGCGCTAGCTAACTGGGAAGTGCCAGAAATTTCGATCGCAAGATTTGATTGGAAAGACAAACAAACACACAAACAGAGAAAGCAAGTTAAAGAAAACGTGGGAAATATGTTTCAAGAAATGATGTAACACTACACTGAAATGTTTTAAAAAAAAGTAAAGTTTATGTATGCATTCGTTTAAACGGTGTGTCTTCCATGAATGGATCTCCCGAGTTATAAGATTAAAATATCTGAGAAGTCTATATATTTTTTTTTATAGTAAGCAGATGGGACGTGCAGGTTGAGTGTAAGAGCACATTAGTGATAACTCAAAAAACTCGAGTTCGATTCCCGGGGCCAGCAGAACGTCTAGTCCTAGCTGCTTCTGTCAGTTCCACGTGATCCAGTGGTAGAGTGCTCGGCTGCTAACCCCAATCATTGTTTGGATCACAGGCTCGTGTACGTAGGGCGTCTGAGTCCGCCCAGCTCTAATGGGTACCTGGCTAATGTTGGGGAGAGTAAAGGCGTCTGGGCACAATGCTGACCACACTATCTCTTCATGTGCCGAGGTCACAGACTCCGACGAGCTCACACAATTTCACCTGCCACGTGATCAACTGATTTAAACTCGAGCTTAGAAAATGTCAGACTGGTGAGCTTAGTGCTAACCACACAGACAACTAAACTCCACTTTCTGTACCCTGTCTTTCTGCCTTTTTTTCATTCCGTGGTGTTTTCTATTGTTTTAATCACACACAGAACATTATAATAGTACCTTTTAGACCTGATCCTACATCCCACAGTCATGTCTGCAAACAGCCCAGTTTAGGACCCAGCATAAACAATAGGGCTGGTAAGTAGGCCACCAACCAGTTCTATGGCTCATGCAGGTTTTATTGAGCCGTAGAATTGGTTGGTGACCTACTTACCAGCCCTATTACCAGTACCATCACTCCGTCACAGAAAACCAAGTAGCTGATGATGCACTAAACGACTTATCCAGAGCATTGTGAAATAAATGACGCAGCACCCCAACCACTTACTCAACGGGCCGGGTCTTTAGGTGGGAACAGATTTATCCTGGTGCTCTACATCCCCGCATGTCTCTAGAGAAATCGACAAGCTCTATAGACTCGACCTTGACTGTAAAGGGCGGCTATTTTTTTTACACGGATTAACAGTCAAGCCTAAAATAAATGAGTTATCTCTCTTTCAAGTACAAAACAATTTCAGCACGCCTTATGTTTCGACCCCGCTGATCTTCGCATTTATTTCCCATTTTGTCTGGCATCTTAACGCCCACACCAGATATTGGAGATGATGGACGTGTGAAGAACGACAACTGTACCCCGCAGCCTGTAAACTAAACTTAAAGAAAGATACACCCCCAAGTACGATAGCCTTACCTCGTAGTCTATAAAGTAAACCCTAAGCAAGATTAGCCCCCCTCCCCTCTAGAACCTTAACTATAACCCATAGTCTATAAACTAAATCCAAAGCAAGATCCTTCCCTCAAGAACGGTAACTATAACTCATAGTCAATAAAATAAAACCAAGCAATATCCACCCCCAAGTACGATAACTACAACCCGTAGTCTATAAAATAAATCCAAAACATGATCACCCCCCCCCCCCCCCGGAACGGTAACTATACCCCATAGCCTATAACCTAAACCCAAGCAAGATCCACCCCAAGAACGATAACTATAACCCATCGTCTATAAACTAAACCCAAATTATGATCACTCCCCTCTTCCCAAGAACGGTAACCATACACCGTAGTCTATACACTAAACCCGGAACAAGATTTCCCCCAAGAACCATAACTGTAGCATAAGATCCACCCCTTAAGCCACTTGGTTAAACCTGTTTTGTCAGCCTTTACTTGTATGTTGTTAGTGCATCTATGTTTAAGCCTTTGAAGATTGGAGCTGTCGTGTGGGCGCTAACGAAGCTCGTTAAACGGATGGGGCGTTTCCTCGTCGAATTTGAACCTGTAGTATATTCCAGGTTTAACGGCTTAGCTGCAGATTTGGATAATTTAATGATTTGACTTGTCGTTACCTGCAAGCTAATCACAGACTTTAATAGTCTGCTCGTGTTCCGCCTCAGCGTGGAATGCTAACATCACGTGATCCTGACCGGAAGACACGTGACTTTTATTGTTTACATGGTGCTAGGGTTACCGCCGAGACTCAAGTCTCGCGTCTATTAGCGGCATCAGTCGTAAGTCTTCGCGCGTGGAAAGAAAGTTTAAAAAAAAATAGCCGCGGAGTGAGCGACTTATCTGTGGTGTTCCCATTGAAAGATTTACTAGCGGGTCCCCGGATAAAAACATGCGGTGTTTGCCCAGCCTGAGTAGGCTATCTGTGTAAACAGTTTCACTCAAAGGCGACGTAAGGAGATACATGACATTTTATTTACGGCCAGCCCGGGTTTAGCTTGTCCTTCAGAGTAAACCAAAACGTTAACCTGTCTTTGATTTGTTCCTTAGATTAACACAATCTGTAGCGTATTAACGAGCGTAGTTTAATTATATTCATGAATATATCTGACAATTTGACGTTGTGGTTGAGATAGCTGGACGTAAAAGTTAGGGGAGGGGGAGGATTTGTATTCTAGGGATGGAGAGGTTGGTATATTATGGGCATGTGAAAATGATTAGGTGAAGTCGAGAGACAACCACAGACTTGGAGGTGTGTTGCTAAACCTACAGCAAGACCCTAATTGTCTTTGTCATTGCCTTGTTTGTCTTGGGATCAGTTCAACCTTTGCTACATCGTTTTCCTTATGATTCTAACTTTTAATTAATTTTAAAGCAGGTTCGCGACATTAATATTTTGTTATTGGGTGTTTGTTTTTAGTGGGGTTACACTCATGCGTTCAAATAGATGATTATATTTAGTAAGGTTCAAACACCAATTTACACGTAATGTTTTTGTTTAGTGTCGTTCAAACACGTACATTTAGTTTGTTTGGTGTGTTTTAAACACCAATTTACATGTATGTTTTGTTTTAATTTTGGTGGGGTTAAAACACCAACTTAATCGTCTTTAGTTTGTGTTTAGTGTCGCTTAAACACGTAGGTTTTGTTTTGCTTATTGTGGTTTATAAATGTGTATATTTAGTGAGTGTTAACCACCAACTTACTCGTAGATTGTGTTTGTGTCTAGGGAAGAATGCGGGAACCTTACACGTAGATTATGTTTGTGTCTAGGGAAGAATGTGGGAACCTTACACGTAGATTGTGTTTGTGTCTAGGGAAGAATGTGGGAACCTTACACGTAGATTATGTTTGTGTCTAGGGAAGAATGTGGGAACCTTACACGTAGATTGTGTTTGTGTCTAGGGAAGAATGTGGGAACCTTACACGTAGATTGTGTTTGTGTCTAGGGAAGAATGCGGGAACCTTACTCGTAGATTGTGTTTGTGTCTAGGGAAGAATGTGGGAACCTTACACGTAGATTGTGTTTGTGTCTAGGGAAGAATGTGGGAACCTTACACGTAGATTATGTTTGTGTCTAGGGAAGAATGTGGGAACCTTACACGTAGATTATGTTTGTGTCTAGGGAAGAATGTGGGAACCTTACACGTAGATTGTGTTTGTGTCTAGGGAAGAATGTGGGAACCTTACACGTAGATTGTGTTTGTGTCTAGGGAAGAATGTGGGAACCTTACACGTAGATTATGTTTGTGTCTAGGGAAGAATGTGGGAACCTTACACGTAGATTATGTTTGTGTCTAGGGAAGAATGTGGGAACCTTACACGTAGATTGTGTTTGTGTCTAGGGAAGAATGTGGGAACCTTACACGTAGATTGTGTTTGTGTCTAGGGAAGAATGTGGGAACCTTACACGTAGATTATGTTTGTGTCTAGGGAAGAATGTGGGAACCTTACACGTAGATTGTGTTTGTGTCTAGGGAAGAATGTGGGAACCTTACACGTAGATTATGTTTGTGTCTAGGGAAGAATGTGGGAACCTTACACGTAGATTGTGTTTGTGTCTAGGGAAGAATGTGGGAACCTTACACGTAGATTGTGTTTGTGTCTAGGGAAGAATGTGGGAACCTTACACGTAGATTGTGTTTGTGTCTAGGGAAGAATGTGGGAACCTTACACGTAGATTATGTTTGTGTCTAGGGAAGAATGTGGGAACCTTACACGTAGATTGTGTTTGTGTCTAGGGAAGAATGTGGGAACCTTACACGTAGATTATGTTTGTGTCTAGGGAAGAATGTGGGAACCTTACACGTAGATTGTGTTTGTGTCTAGGGAAGAATGTGGGAACCTTACACGTAGATTGTGTTTGTGTCTAGGGAAGAATATGGGAACCTTAAACATAGATTGTGTTTGTGTCTAGGGAAGAATGCGGGAACCTCAGGAGAGAGCTAACAGCTCAGAAGGAGGACGAGAAGAGGGCAGCACTCAGCCATCTGGCCCAGCTCAAGAACGAAGAGATCGAAGCAGTGAGAGCTGGTCTGGACTCTAGAGTCGCTCACCTCAGGAGACAGGTAACACACGTCGGGTGGTTGGGGGGGGGGGGGTCGTGTTATATAGCACTATTACACGTAATACTCAGACACTTTGGGGTCACCCAGCAATCTTTGATGTAGCATTTCAATGATAGTTGTGGCTCTAAAATTGTTGAAATTCCCCTGTCTCTGTTTCCTCTCTTAACGTTAAGAACTAAGAATATATGTTGGCCACAATTACATAACATAAATGATCATAGAAGATTTTATCCAAGAAGTAAGCGAACCCCCATCTTCTTCTTCTTCCTCTCCCTTCCTGCTTCCCGTGGAGCATAAGGCCGATATTATATTTCACCGTCGATCATGATTTGTGGCTTCTATTTAAAACTCAAGCCATGAAATTCCAGCCTCTCTCACCTCTCTTTCAAACCATTTCCAAACATTTTAGTCCCCACTTTCCCCGCGTGATCCACATAAAAAGCAACCCCATGTGATTTTTTCCCTTTGTCTACAGATTGAAGACTTACAAAGCCAGCTGGACAACTCTAAGACCCTGAGCGAGGCCGAGAGAAGCCGACTAGAGTCGAGCCTTGAGCGAGAGAAAGACCGGCTGAGACAGGAGATGCTGGAAGCCGCATCCGAGTACGCCAGCCAGATCGAGATGATGAAGAAGATGCACGATGATGAGATGGCTAGGTTCAAATCCCAGCTGGAGCAGGAGAAAAACGTAGGTTTAAAAAAAAGTCATTGTCTTTATTTTGCACGTACTTATATTCAGGCATAGTGTATTCCAACTTATTATAGTGATTGATCCACTAAACTTTGTGCATTGAGCCAGCACTAAGCAAAACAATAATCCTAACAATAGTCCTAATCATTTTTCAAAAGTTTTCACCCTAATCCTATCCCGAACAGTGACATTGGCAGAAAGATAATCGTAGCGTAATTCTGACGTGCACTGCCTTATTTCTACGTTAACAAGATCCTTAATTGCACCAAATGAAAATCTTGTGTTTGTTAACGTTATATTGTATCAGACGCAATTTTTGGACTGTGTATAATGTAAAACTTGAGACCTTGCAATTCCTAACGCTGATCTTAATCACGTTGTTTGCCATCACCATGTATATTTATATAGAGTACTTAGAAATGTATACTAATGCATTACCTGCAATTTAAGCATCGCAAATATCTACCGATTTCATTAAATTTTCCTTTCAATAACCGCACTTTATGATATGCGTTAGTTAACTGTGTATAGTGATATTGTTGTGGCCAATATGATCAATGCCCCATGCGAATATACGTTTGGTTGGTTAGAATCTAGATATGTAACTGTACAGTTGGGAACAATTAAGTGCCCTCGACAGCATCAGAATACTTGGTTAACAATTAGCGCAGTTTATTTCCGTATGGCGTCTAGTTGGTACGCTCCGGTGTGCAAGTTTGTACACTCTGGTGTGCAAGTGGACGGAGTGTAACCCTACACTCTTCAGTCATAACATCGTGACCTAGACAAAAGGGGTGACAACTGATTCGAGTGTGAATAAAAAATGGGGGTTATTTCCCCTGATATGTCTGCGGTTGTTTCCCCTTTTGTCCTGCCGATCTACTTGCGATCTTACACTGTAGCCACAAGAAGCCAAGATCCTATTCAACCTTAAGTGGCGTTAATTAGTCGCCTCGTTAATAATGACCAACAGAAGACTATTAGTGGTTTTTTTTATCATGCATGTTTTTTGTCTATAGCGTTTCATACTTCACATATAAGTTATGTTTGTTTGAGGTTTACTTATTGATAACTTAGAGAAGTTATTTTTGCGCAAGGCTAAGAGTTGTTCTAGTTCAGAACTTGTTTACGTTTATAACATGAATATGTTGCAAGGTCATTTAGATTGGCTTGTCATAAAGTCTAGTAGCTGGGGTCGAAATTTTAAGTCACATTTCATCCTGCGTGCAGTCATTTGGTCATAATTGGATGATTGGGATTTTAACTAATGAACTTACTGTTTGATAAAGGATCCGCGTTGTTAGGCCGATAAAGATCATTGTTGCTAAACCGAAAAGACCCGAGTTGGGACGATAGCTAAGAACAGCAACCCATCTAGGGGAGAAAACAACATCAAACAACTGCTATGGAAACAAAGCCAAAAATAAAGCAAGCTGGAATCGGAGTCAACGTAATACTTAATTGGGTGCGAGAAAATTCCGCCCAACATTACAATAAAGAAGGAAGAAGGAAGTGTGATAAATTATGCAAATAAAATAATTGTCATAAAAGATGGCTCTAAAAATGTTGCAACATTAAATACAATGTTATCCAATCAGTTTCCTTTAAGAAAGTGGACCCGTGCTTTCAAATCATGTGTGAATTAATGGTCTTTTTTTCAAATTCACTATATTGCTTAAATAAAATTAAAAAAAAAACGAAATATTTTATTAGATTTTCTTTCGTGTTTTATCCCATGTGCAACAGCACAATCACTATGTATTTTGTGTACAGTGTACATTGACCTCTTTCACAATCACCAGCCAGTTTGTGTACATTAACCTATTGTCACAATCAGCAGTTTGTGTGCATTAACCCATTGTCACAATCCCATTGACCTCTCCCCACAGAGCCTGGAGAACGAGCTAAAGCTGAAGCACCTGGAGGAGATGCAGGCCCAGGTGTCCGCCCATAAAGCAGCTCTCAGCCACAGCAGTCAGCTGGAGCAGCGTCAGAGACAGGAGGCTCTGGACAACCTGAAGGTCCAGCAGCTCAAGGAGATTGGTCAGTCACGGCTTCTTCGTGGTGGGCCTGTCTGTGTTGGCCAAATTACATTTAAGTTTAATGGTCGTTTATTGGGCGATTCTCTATGAGGAGTTATTCTGGTTAACGATCACCTAAATATTATGACTTGTATCTTACTATTAGACCTCACTAACAGTGGCTTTTTGAAGGCAGCATACTGTCTTTTTCTATAGAGACAAGATTGATTATTTTATTTAATCAAGTTTCTGTTTTCAATTTCTTAAGTTGATATAATTTGTCGAACTGTCTAAATATTGTAAAGTTGAATGTTGTCATGTGCTGATATATACATCTTGTTGAGTTGAATGTTGTCTTGTGTTGTTCAGTTAGTGTATACTTGAATGTCTTTCTGCTGATTCAGAGAAGCTGCAAGCTGAGCTAGAGGAACAGAACAAGAACGAGATGGAAGCTCTTAAGCTAAAGCATGGCAATGAGGTCAGAGCTGCCAGGATGGAGCTGGAGAGGGCTGTGGAGATCTCAAAGCAAAAGGTGAGCTTAGGTTGTATAAAAGGTGAGCTTAGGTTGTATAAATGGTGAGCTTAGGTTGTATAAAAGGTGAGCTTAGACTATTACAAAAGGTGAGCTTAGGTTGTACAAGAATTTTCTGGTACTTGCTCTATGTACTCTGATTGTGATATGCCCTGTGAGTGATATGCCTTATGTGTGATATGCCCTGATAGTGTTGTGCCCTGTGAGTTATGTACCCTGTAAGTGATGTGCCCTGTTGGACATATGCGCTGTGAATGTTATGCCCTGTGTGAGATGTGCCTTATGCCTGATGTAATTAATGTGTGACATTCCCTGGTATAATTGTGCCCTGTGTGTAATCTGCCACGTGAGTGTTAGCCCTGTGTCACACCAGTATTTTTGTTGTATGGCATGTTCTTTCATGAAATATCGCAAGAATCTAAAATAACACTAATGATGATAATAATTATTACATAATAAAAGTACATCATTACGAAAAACTATCTAAATTTACACCAAAGATGGTCATAATTATAGCCCTTACCACGTAATATTATTGTAGCCAAATAAAATAATAATTACTTCAAATATTTTTCACAGCTACGTCAGGGCATTATAAAATAATAATTTAAAAAGCCAAAAAAGCACGCACTTTTTCTTTTAACTGACATGTCACTATTAAATTTGACACGTCACTCTAATCGCCTGTCCCCAGACACGTGACACATTACTCCCCCTGATCAAACTATTTACACGGGACGAAAATAGTTACACGAAAGGGACGCAACTACACTTGCTAAGCGGCATCCAGAAAATAAACAATTAAAATCGCCATGATATAATTATATTTTTTCCCCTTCCAAATAACTGTTAATAAAGTGCATAATTAATTTTTTTTAAGTGTATTTAATTACATAATAATTGGCACCTGCAGCAAACGTGAGTACGTGTTTCCGTTCACACCTCACCTTATCTCTTTGGGTGAATCGTTCTTTCACCTGGGTCATCCATATAGCGGGGTCATCCATATAGCGGTGTCATCCATATAGCGGGGTCATCCATGCAAGGGGGTCATCCATACAATGGGGTCATCCATAAAATGGGGTCATCCATATAGCGGGGTCATCCATACAATGGGGTCATCCATACAGGCAGGGTTGTTCGATTTGGCGCCCTGGGCTATCATGTGAGCGCTATTCTGCATAATTTTGTTTTTAACAGTGCGATAGACTATGGGTAAGAAAGGTTACTATAGTCTTTAAGTGAATCAAATCCGGGCGTCCTCCGGCACCCCGACAGGGTGCTATTTGGCGCCCCGACATGGTGCTATTTGGCGCCCCGGGCCTACCCGTGTTTGCTATGGTACCTACGTTCGCGTGTTGGACTTTTTACATCAGTGGTCAGCGAGTTTTCTGACTTTGTTTGTGTTGTAGAATCGACTGAACTAGTTGCTCCTAACCTTTGACTCCCCAGGACAAAGATGCACTAGTTAGTTATCTGACTGCCTGTTTGTTTAGATCAGGGGTCTCCAAACTACGGCCCGCGGGCCGGATGCGGCCCGCGAAGTCCTCTCATCCGGCCCGCGGAGATCTTTTTGTCCAAGGAAAAATCGTTTGTTGGTGATGGCTGAGGAACTTTGTCCAGAAAAATAAAAGACATACCTGAAAGAAACTGGCCCCCGAACTGAAATTTGATAGTTAAAGCGGCCCTCGGACTGAAAAGTTTGGAGACCCCTGGATGAATCCACTGAACTAGTTGCCCCTAACCTTTGACTCCCCAGGACAAAGACCACCAGATGCAGCTGGAGGAGCTGAAGACAGAGATTGGGTACAGAGAGCAACACATCAAGAACCTCCAGGACCAGCTGACCAAGGTGCAGGAGCAGATCAGCAAACTCAAGCAGGAGATTGACACCAAGGTGCTGGAGATCAAACAAACACAGAAACAAGCCAGTCAGCAGCTCAAGTAAGTTGTTGGTGTTTCTTTATCTGTTGACTCTGTAATCATGTAGAATGTAAACACCTACATGTGATCTTCAGAAATAGCTTGTGAATTTGTCATCTTAAAGCATGGACCACAGAACATTGGCTTATATTATATCAGTGGCGTTGGTGGGTAGAGTGGTCGAGTTTGTAGCCTCACCAACCCCCACATTGACTCCTGTAAAATGACGACAAAAAGAAAAGCATGATTTGTATTTGTTTGTATAGATTGTTAAAGTAAAGAGATAATGCAAACATTGAATATTGAAATTAGAAGAATAACTTGGTACAGAGGGTAAATTCTACTTATGATTGCATTGCTTTTTTAAAAAAATGTACTTATATATTAGTAAATAAGTCAGAAAAATAAAGTCTGCCTCTACAGGTTAGTATCTGCACAACTGGGTATAAAGTACGCCTACATGAATGTTTACTTCAGTGGCCAAAATTTTTAACTCATTTAACAAACTTGAATCACTTAACTTAATCCTTTTAGTCCACTGAGAAGCAAATGACTGCAGCTACACCTCTCCACCCAACTCTATTTTGTGCAGCTCTGTAGTTTAGCCCATGTAAACTCCACATCCCTTGCTTCTCCTTCCACAGTCCTAAGGATTGTTTAGACCAACCAACTTTCCTTATCCTCTTTTTGTCATGTAACAAAACCAACTTGAACTCCTAGGATCCAAGAGGACAAACTCAACCGTGAGAACCAGACAGCCATAAACAACCTGACAGCTGACCATCTGAGGGAACAGCAGGACATGTTGGCCCAGTTTAATGCTGCCCAGGCCATGCTGAAGGATAAAATTTCTGCTCTACAAATTGAGTGAGTTTATAGGCTACCTGCTCTACAGAATGTGAGTTTTATCTCATCTATGTATAGCTGCCCTACAAATTAAGTGAGTTTTATCTCATCTAAGTATATCTGCCCTGCATATTGAGTTTTATCTCATCTAAGTATATCTGCCCTACATATTGAGTTATATCTCATCTAAGTATATCTGCCCTGCATATTGAGTTTTATCTCATCTAAGTATATCTGCCCTACACATTGAGTGAGTTTTATCTCATCTAAGTATATCTGCCCTGCATATTGAGTTTTATCTCATCTAAGTATATCTGCCCTGCATATTGAGTTTTATCTCATCTAAGTATATCTGCCCTGCATATTGAGTTTTATCTCATCTAAGTATATCTGCCCTACACATTGAGTGAGTTTTATCTCATCTAAGTATATCTGCCCTGCATATTGAGTTTTATCTCATCTAAGTATATCTGCCCTGCATATTGAGTTTTATCTCATCTAAGTATATCTGCCCTACACATTGAGTGAGTTTTATCTCATCTAAGTATATCTGCCCTGCATATTGAGTTTTATCTCATCTAAGTATATCTGCCCTGCATATTGAGTTTTATCTCATCTAAGTATATCTGCCCTACAAATTGAATAAGTTATATATGTATCATATCTAAGATTGTCATCAAAACTCCTCCAATTAGAGAGAATAAATTAGCATAAAAATGATTTTTTAAAAATGTTAAACCAATTAGTCTGTCTCAGCTTACAATATAACTAGTTTCAAATTATTTGCATAGGCTTACTTTTAAATCTTCATTTTGCTTTAAGAAAAAATTCTGCTATATGGTGTAGCTTTATTTTGTTTTTGAGATAAAAACCCTCTCTGTGGTGTAGCCTTATATTGTTTTTGAGGCGTAGCGACTCTTCCCAGGGACAAACTTTCGATTTGCACCCCCCCCCCCCACTCAAATTTGTCTCTATATATTTTACTTTTTTTTGCCTTGGTGTCACCCCACTAAATGGTGTCACCCGGTGCGGTCCGCACCCCCCCCCCCCTCGCTACGCCTCTGCTGTATGGTGTAGCCTTATATTGTATTTGACATACGTTCCTACCATATGGTGTAGCCTAATATTGTATCTGACATACGTTCCTACCATATGGTGTAGCCTTATATTGTATTTGACATACGTTCCTACCATATGGTGTAGCCTTACATTGTATCTGACATACGTTCCTACCATACGGTGCAGGTTGCAAGAAGCCAGAGATCGTTATGACAGAAGGGAGTCCAGACCTGAGGACTTGGAGCTGATTGACTCGTTAAGATCTGAAGTGTCAGAACGGGAAATTAGAATCAAAGACCTCATTGTGAGTTGACTAAGTCTTTTGTTATTTTCATTGTCTTTGGTCATTTTCATTGACTTTTGTTATATTCATTGACTTGTGCTATATTCATTGTCTTTTGTTATATTCATTGACTTTTGTTATATTCATTGACTTGTGCTATATTCATTGTCTTTTGTTATATTCATTGACTTGTGCTATATTCATTGTCTTTTGTTATATTCATTGACTTTTGTTATATTCATTGACTGTTGTTATATTCATTGTCTTTTGTTATATTCATTGACTTGTGCTATATTCATTTTCTTTTGTTATATTCATTGACTTTTGTTATATTCATTGACTTTTGTTATATCCATTAACTTGTGCTATATTCATTGACTTTTGTTATATTCATTAACTTGTGTTATATTCATTGACTTGTGTTATATTCATTGACTTTTGTTATATCCATTGTCTTTTGTTATATTCATTGACTTTTGTTATATCCATTGTCTTTTGTTATATTCATTGACTTTTGTTATATTCATTGACTTGTGCTATATTCATTGTCTTTTGTTATATTCATTGACTTTTGTTATATTCATTGACTTTTGTTATATCCATTAACTTGTGCTATATTCATTGACTTTTGTTATATTCATTAACTTGTGTTATATTCATTGACTTGTGTTATATTCATTGTCTTTTGTTATATTCATTGACTTTTGTTATATTCATTGACTTTTGTTATATCCATTAACTTGTGCTATATTCATTGTCTTTTGTTATATTCATTGACTTTTGTTATATTCATTGACTTTTGTTATATTCATTGTCTTTTGTTATATTCATTGACTTGTGCTATATTCATTGTCTTTTGTTATATTCATTGACTTTTGTTATATTCATTGACTTTTGTTATATCCATTGTCTTTTGTTATATTCATTGACTTTTGTTATATCCATTGTCTTTTGTTATATTCATTGACTTTTGTTATATTCATTGACTTGTGCTATATTCATTGTCTTTTGTTATATTCATTGACTTTTGTTATATTCATTGACTTTTGTTATATCCATTAACTTGTGCTATATTCATTGACTTTTGTTATATTCATTAACTTGTGTTATATTCATTGACTTGTGTTATATTCATTGACTTTTGTTATATCCATTGTCTTTTGTTATATTCATTGACTTTTGTTATATCCATTGTCTTTTGTTATATTCATTGACTTTTGTTATATTCATTGACTTGTGTCATATTCATTGACTTTTGTTATATTCATTAACTTGTGTTATATTCATTGACTTGTGTTATATTCATTGACTTTGTTATATTCATTGACTTGTGTTATATTCATTGACTTTTGTTATATAGATTGACCAGTTGTTATATTGATTGCCTTTTATCTTTTATTTTGTTTCTGGACTTATGTAATGTGTCTTTGTTGTTTTATGACTTTTTGGTAGATCGAAATAGACTAAGCCTTTGGTTTTGCCTCTTGCCTTTAAGGAAATAAACCAAAAGATGTTTACCTTTTCTTTGATCCCTAATCAAATGCTTTCATCTTCATCTAGCCTACATTTTAAAGACTTTTTTACAGTGTTAGCTAAACCTTTAGTGATTGGCTAGATAAGTCACATGTTCTAAACACAAGACAGGAAGTGGGGGGTGGGATGGGAAATACATGGACCACAGAAAATTTGCTTTACTATCTACAAGTGTTTATTTTCTATACTCACTCAAACACTTGATGTTAGCACCTTTATATAGATAGACAGCACACTGACAATAGGTTTTCTAAACTTGTTCAAGTTATCAACAATAATTTCAAAACATTCAGTGCATCTTTGTTTTATGCTGTTGTTGATTGTGTAACCATGGTAACCATGTAGCTGATCCCATAACTCCCCAGGATGAGAAGAGGTTTTACCAGCTTGAGCTAGTGAACAGAGAAACTAATTTCAACAAGGTTTTTAATGCCTCGCCCAATGTAGGGGTTCTCAACCCTTTCCAGAAGGTAGGTCTAAACCATTGTACTCTCTAAACAAGTATGTCTACCTTTAATTTATTATTAAAATTTTCATTAATTAGACAAGTTAATAAATACATATCTTTGAACATTTTTCTGCATATGTAAATTAATGTTATAAATGCTATGTAAACTAACATATATTAAGTTCAGAGGCGTAGCGAGGGGGGGGCGGGGCGGGTGGTCCGGACCGCACCGGGTGACACCATTTAGGGGGGTGACACCAAGGCAAAAAATAGACAATATATAGAGAAAAACTTGAGGTGGAGGGGTGCAAATCGAAAACTTGAGGGGGGAAGGTGCAAATCAAAAGTTTGAGGGGGGGTGGTGCAGATCGAAAATTTGAAAGTTTGTCGCCGGGAAGGATTGCTACGCCTCTAGGGGGTGACACCATTAAGTGCCGCACCGGTTGACACCCGACCTCGCTACGCCACTGATTAAGTTTACACATACATATCTCTAAATACTTTTCTAAATATTTAAAAAGATCCTTTAACTGATGATTGGCTTATAGCCTATGGGCCTAATTATAAAAAAAAACTGATTAACTCTGAGGCCTAACAATACAATGACCTATTAGTTCAGAGCTGAAACCATTAATAACAATACAATGACTTTAACTAATAAAACAATGGCCTGTTCGCTCATACAAAGTATACATGTTTAAAAAATAAATTTTCAGCCTAAAAAGAAAGGAGAAAAGACGGCTGGAGTTCAAAGGTTAGATCCTCTACCTGGCTCTCCTCTTCATGATGGGAAACTGAACCCCACAAAACCCTTACCACAACCCAACTTTACAAAGTTCTCTAGATAAAAACCTGCCCAGTGATCTCATAGTTTAACGCCCCACGTGAGAAGGTGTAGGATACATTTTAGATAAAAGAGCCTGAATAATTCTGAGAGTTTATGTTTTATTGTGTGAGATCCAAGTGGGAGAGCTAAATAGCTGATAAAGTTGGTTTGGAGGTGAGACAATATTAAACTTCACTGTTGAAGAGGTAGGTGATAAAGTTGGAATAAAATAATGCTAAAATATAGTGTGTGGAGATATGATTTGTGTGTTAATCTAAAACATGAAATGTAAGGTTGAGTCATTTATAGAGCCAAATGTGGCTCCAGGGCTGCAGGCAGTCAACCACTGGGCTAGAGAGAATGCTTGAAGCATAAAAGAAACTAGAAATATACAAATATTGCAACCAAGGCAAAAAATATTTAGATTGAACAGCCACACCCCACCCACCACAGATGGAACAGCTACACCCCACCCATCTCTGATGGAACAGCCACACCCCACCCATCACAGATTAAACAGCCACACCCACCCACCACAGATGGAACAAGCATACCCCACCCACCACACAGTATAAAAAACTGCTTTCCTTTATAGGCTTTTCCTTCTAAGCAGCATTGATTAGCTTAAAAATGTGAAATAATCATTCAGTTAATCTTTTCAAAGCAGATCTGATGCCCAGTGATGTTGATGATTTTTTTCTTATTATTACAAAGCATTACAGCGTTAATATATTAACACTATAATTATTTTTATTTATTTATCAGACCCATTTCTATGAAGTAAAAATTGTCAAAATTTCAATCAAAGATTTTTATTTACATTCTTGTATAGCTATATGTCATTTGATAATGGTGTTTTTACATGTAAAATGATGTTACTTATTGAATGTAGTCATATTTTAAAATATGTTTTATACTTTTAAAACTGTTCTCTCTTTATGTAATGACAAAATTAAGTTCAAAGTGAAAAATTAAAAGGCTTCATTGTTTTTTCAATAATCTTTTTATTTGGCCCATGGTACTTCAAACAATTATTAAAAACCCTTTGTTTAATTTGTAATCAATTAATTTTGTTAATTCATTAAAGATGCCCTGTGTTTTAAGTACATGATTTACATTATATTTTGTCCTATATAACCTGATGTGGCTAATGCAGTGTGTGTGTAGATTCCTAAAGATGTACTGCATGCCTTTTAATTAATCTTGTCATTACTTGAATGAGATTATAACTTTGGTGAAAGTTGGATTGTGCTGTAGTTTTTCCTGACCAGTGGTATGCTTGAAACTTGGATTGTGCTGTTTTTTCTGACCAGTAGTATGCTTGAAACTTTTGTGCTGTAGTTTTTCCTGACCAGTGGTATGCTTGAAACTTGGATTGTGCTGTTTTTTCTGACCAGTAGTATGCTTGAAACTTTTGTGCTGTAGTTTTTCCTGACCAGTGGTATGCTTGAAACTTGGATTGGATTGTGTTGTGCTTGAATTTGATTTGGTATGAATACAACTGTTGACTGCTGCTTCCATTATACTTCCATTCTGTTGATTCAGTGTGAGCAAACTGCTGTTTTAAGTATAAATTATACTGTAGTATTTTAAGTAATGTATACTCATGTCACTATGTCTTATAAAGTATTTTATGTAAAGTATACTGCTGTATTTTAATAAAATTTGAATTCCTATTTATATAAAGTATACTGCTATTTTTGTCAAAAATTGTTTTGCTGTTTATGTAAAACATACTACTCTTTCTGTCAAAAATTGTATTATTTATATCTAGTATACTGCGGTTTCTGAAGAAATTGTATTGCTGTATTATATAACTATTATGACTGTTTCTTTCTATAACAAATAAAATAATGACTCAATACTGCTGAACTTAGCACCAAAATAAACTGTTTATTTTTCATGGGTGAAGAAAGTTTTATTAAACAGATCATCTGTAGGCCTATAGAAAAATTATTTGTTCACTGTTTGGGGGAGTGCTGGGGTGAATTATCTTCTTTGACCCCCACTTTCTTTTTCTATGTCTTGTTGAATTGTATTGTTAAGCTTCATTTAATAAACATGTTATGGAGCATCAAGTATATTTTTTTATAAATTAACTTAAAGGAGTATTGCCAGAAAAAAATGTAAATAAAAATATTTTTTTTTACTGCTGGACTGTTCTGTGTAGAGCTCTCCAATTAGCTGTGATAAAACATATGTGGTAACATAACTATGCATTGAAATCTTGAGAGTCTTTGAAAATGTTACTGGAACATTTGGTTTAGAGTAAAACATTAAAACTTCTTGTACAAATTTTACATGTAGTTTGTTGTTACAGTAAGTTTATTAAATTTCATTTACATTTTTTTTAATGTTCATATCTTTTGCATTTAATTAAGTTTTAAAAAATACATTTCTGATATTTGATGTAGATAAAAAAAATAAAAGACTAAAATTCGTATGTCCTATTAATGCTTCTCTAAATTCTAATGCCGTTTTATTTTTGACTTAACCAAAGTTTTGATTTTATAAATGTTACTTTCCCATATTTATACTATGACTTTAAAAAATGTGTATATGTTAATCTCTAATGGGTTTTATAATTTGGTGAGATGTACGTGTACATTAATTATTCCTGTCTCAACCATTCATAATTCTACAAGAGGTTCTCAAGCTATAACTCTGGTCACCTGTACACAAACTGTCCATTGTACACAATTTGTACTGATATGATCTTGTGTACACGATTGTTTCAACTGTAGAACTTTATTCAATCATACTGATAGGGCCCAGTAGTGGTAAAAACAATTGAATTCAAACATCATTTACCTTTTATGTTCTTGTTAGTTTGATAACTTATTTTAAATGTTTACTTTGTCATATTTCTCAATATAAGTAAGCTTTGGACCTCAGAAATATGATCTTCGATATTTCAAAAATATTTCCTTTGTAGCTCATTTCAAATTGTATTTTAAAAAACTATAACCCATGTAACAGTAACTCATTTCAATTGTTATAAAAACTATTATAAAAATAATGGTTGCTACAATTATATTTTCTATTAGCCCTACTTTTATGAGCATGCTAAGTTAGACTATCAGAGTGCTAGTCTAGCTAGAGAGCACGATCAGTATCAAGTTTGAAGTTGTGCTAAGACTAGTGTACACTATCAAATAATGTTTTAAGGTGTGTTGTAAATGAAACAAATCTGGATTGAATAAAGCTTGGAAATGAACATGTGATGTATTGATATTTTTTTCACCTATGAAAATGTGTGCATAATCTACCTAAAAAGGGCTTAAAAAATAGTGGCTACAAATTAAAACTAATCAATGAATACTATATAGAAAATTTTGCCCACAGAAATTAATGTGCTTGGAAAATCTATGAACTGGTAATAAACATCAATTAACAAACCAGTTGCTTAACATAAACTTTTAAATGATTTATAATCGGTTGATTTTTATGGTGGGTTTTGTTTTATGTTGTGTTTGGTTTGATATTGTGTTTTATGGTTTTTTGTTTTATATAGTGTTTGGTTTTATGTTAAGTTTGATTTTATGGCGTGTTTTGTTTTATGTTGTATTTGGTTTAATGTTGTGTTTGGTTTTATGTTGTGTTTGGTTTTATGCTGTGTTTGGTTTTATGCTGTGTTTGGTTTTATGTTGTGTTTGCATATTATTGAAATGACCAGTATAGACAGTGCAGAGATCAAGCCCATAATATGTTGGAAGACTGAAAATATTAAACTATGTTGGGCACGTTATAGACAGATGTTAGTGCAAACAAGCTAATAGATTGAATTCTAAGTTAAATTATTCTTATAGTAGGTTGGTTGTCGTAATGTCAATGTGTAGACGTTTTTTTTTAAAATACTTTTATTTTCAATTTAAAATAATTTCATCAACACTGTTTAAGTATTTACAAAAACCAAGTTTAACCATGGCGTTTTAAATGGGATACAGAAATAAATGTTTGGATAATTCAGTGATAGGGGACCCGGGTAGAGATGATGCGTATCTTTAGTGTTTAAAAACATGTTTGTAGGTTTCTGTTGGATTCGAGATATGTGGGGGGGGGGGGGGGGGGGGGGTTAAACGCAAGTAGGCAATGTGTAGAAAATGTATGATTTATAAATTTTTCATCATTTTAATATTATTTACGGATGGACCTTCTGATTGATTTCAAGTGCATTGTGCTTTGTTTTATATTAAATTACTTTTTTTTTAAATCTTGTGTTCGAGTTAAAATAAATAGTCTGTATTATAAAACTCAATGAATATATTCTTCAGATAAACATATAATATTTTGTAAAATAAATTGAATGCAGTTATTTTATAGCATTTAAAAAGTATTTTCTCATACTAAATAAAATTTAAAGGTGTGATTAAATACATGTACGGAGCTGTATTAAAGAGTGTCATTACTTCCCTTACATTTGATCGCTGCACTTAAATTCTTTCAACAATTCGAACGCGAAATAATTAGCGCAATTTCCATTCTGGAGAATTGCGTTTATTAACGCGTCATTTCTGGGAATGGATGGATGGATGGATGAATGAATGTATGGATGAATGTGTGTCCGGGCTTTAAGTCGTATCTCCTCCTCAACGAAGCAATATCGATGACTAGTTCCAAAAGCAATTATGTTAAGCAAGTTACGAGAATGAGCATAGGCCATAAAAATTCCGGGTTTCTTTCATGTATTTCCCGGAAAAGCCAAAAAACCTCGAACAAATGCAGTTTTTGGCCCATATCTCGGCAACCAGACCACTTAGCGACTTGAAACATGTACCAATCGATTCCTGCCATAATTTAGAACAATATTGCCGAAGAAAGTTTTCAAAAATATCCTCTCGTTTAGTCACAAATTTTAAAATTACATAAACACCAACAAACCGATCGTTCTTCTAGCTTGAACGCATCCCAGCATTATACGTCAGAGCTATTTTTAGATAACATAAGGAAATTGCGCATTAATGTCACTAGACTTTTTAATTAACTTGTTTTTTTTATCATGAATAAAAAATAGGCTGTGTTATTTTTGTGTAGAGTGCTGCTACGATTTGTTCTGTTGTGTTTTGGATTTGTTTTGTATGATGTGCAATTTTGTATTATGTTGTGTGTTCCATCCTCTTATAAACATATAAACACCTCACACCCCCACATACGTATTGGCTTTTAATTTCCACCCCCCCCCCCCCCCCCCACTTGCTGATCTGTTACGCCATTGT